AGGGTCTCTGGCATGCAAGGCAAGCGCTCTACCACTGAGCCACCTTCCCAGCCCCCCTCATCATATTTTTGAGTGATATATTTTAGTTAAATATTTGTATTTACTAAAGTTCTTAGCTTGACATTGTGAATTAGAGATAACAGTAGGATGAAAAGAGTTTTATTAACCTTTTTTTTTTGGTCGGTCATGGGGCTTGAACTCTGAGTCTGTGCACGGTCCTTGCACTCTTCAGCTCAAGGTGAGTACTCTACCGCTTGAGCTACAGGGCCACTTCCAGTTTTCTAGTGCTTTATTGGAGATTAGAGTCTCACGGGCTTTCCTGCCCGGGCTGGCTTTGAACTGTGATCCTCAGATCTCAGCCTCCTGAGTAGATAGGATTACAGGCGTGAGCCACTGGCGCCCAGCCACGAGTTTATTAACTTTTTGTGCTATCTTTTTACTTTTCTAATGATACTTGCATTCTTATCCTGTGATACTTCAGTTTGCATTATTTTTAATTTATTTTTTAATTTTTTTTTGGGTCCGGTCGTGGGGCCTGAACTCTGGGCCTGGGCACTGTCCCTCAGCTCTTCAGCTCAAGGCTAACGCTCTACCACTTGAGCCACAGCTCCGCTTCCGGCTTTTTTCTTTTTGCTTATGTGGTGCTGAGGAATTGAACCCAGGGTCTCATGCATGCAAGGCAAGCGCTCTACCACTGAGCCACCTTCCCATCCCCGTTTGCATTATTTTTATATTTTAAACATTAATGCTATAAATTTATATGACATTTGAAATTGGTATACATTTCTACCATTCATGTCACCCTTAAAATGTTTAAGAATATTGTACAACATGTCACCATTCTAAAACTATATTGTATGTCGTTATGCTGTGTGTGTGTGTGTGTGAGAGAGAGTGTGAGTGAGTGTGAGTGCATGTGTGCTGATACTGAGGCTTGAGCTCAGAGCCTCATGTACTCCCTTGAATTGTTTTTTCTTTTTTATTTTCTTTCTTTCTTTTTTTTTTTTTTTGTTGGTTGTGGGGCCTGAATTCTGGGCCTGGGCACTGTCCCTCAGCTTTTCAGCTCAAGGCTAGCGCTCTATCACTTGAGCCACAGCACCACTTCTGGCTTTTTCTGCTTATGTGGTGCTGAGGAATCGAACCAGGGCCTCATGCATACAAAGCAAGCACTCTACCACTGAGCCACCTTCCCAGCCCCATCCATTGGATTTTTTTTTGTCATTCCTGGGGCATTAACTAAGGGCCTGGGCACTGACCCAGAGCTGCTTTTGCTCAAGGCTAACACTACCACGGTGCCATAGAGCCACCGCGCCACCTCTGGCTTTTTCTGTTTATGTGGTACTAAGGAATTGGACCCAGGGCTTCGTGCATGCTAGGAAAGCACTCTACCACTAAGTCACATTCCTAGCCCTCTCCCTTAGTTTTCTTTTTTGTTCGGTTGTGGGACTTGAACTGTGGGCCTAGGTGCTGTCCTTAGGTCTTCAGCTCAAGGTTAGCCCTTTACCACTTCTTGCACCACAGCTCACCACTTCCCACTTTTTCTGTTTATGTGGTGCTGAGGAATTGAACCCAGGGCCTCATGCATGTGAGGCAAGGACTGTACCACTGAGCCGCCTTCCCAGCCCCTCCTTTGGCTTTTTAGTTCTAATCTGGCACTCTACCACTTAATCCACACTTCCACTTCCAGCTTTTTGCTAGTTAATTGGAGCTAAAATTCTCTTAGACTTATGTACCTGGGCTGGCTTTGAACTTCAATCTTTAGATCTCAGCCTCCTGAGCAGCTAAGATTACAGGCCTGAGCCACTGGCTGTACTTTCCTTATTTGTACATCTTAAGCAAAATAAGTGCTTTTCTCAGAATATTTATCTTAAAATATAGAAAAGTACTATTTTGATTTTGCCTCAAACTGTTTCTTTAGGTGGAAAGACCCCCACATATAATTGAAATTGCCTTTTTAAAAATTATTTCTCAGGGCTGGGAAGGTGGCTCCGTGGTAGAGCGCTTGCCTTGCATACATGAGGCCCTGGGTTCGATTCCTCAGAACCATGTAAGCAGGAAAAAAAAACAAACCGGAAATGGCGCTGTGGCTCAAGTGGTAGAGTGTTAGCCTTGAGCTGAAGAGCTGAGGGATAGTGCCCAGGCCCAGAGTTCAGGCTCCATGACCGGACCCCCCCAAAAAAAATTATTTCTTATATCTAGTTTATAGACTTTTTGGGGAATTTACATTTGTATTACAAACATTCTACTTTGCATAAGTAATATGTAGAAGCAGTTTCTTAAAAAAACCTTATTATGTTATTTTATCAAAGATTACTTCACCTAAAGGTGTATTTAATTAAATTCTTTTGGTGACATTTAGGTATTCAGAAAATTAGATGAGCCAGGTGCCAGTGGCTAATGCCTATAATCCTAGCTCCTCAGGAGACAGCTCTGAAGACTGTGGTTTGAAGGCATGTGGGCAGGAATGTCCATGAGTCTGCAGTCTCTATCTAGTTAAGCACCAAAAAAGCAGCACATGGAGCTATGGCTCCAGTGGCAGAGTGCTAGTGTTGAACAACAAAACTCAGAGACAGTACACAGGCCCTGAGGTCAAGCTTCAGGATCAGAAACAAAATAGAAAAAGTAGATAGGAGTGATAAAGGGAAAATTAAATGAGAGTGATAGAAAATTAGATAAGATGGGTGTGGTTGCTATATTTCATTTATGTATGGAAATGTTACAGTGGAACTAATACATGCTAATTAAAAGGTAGGTGACATAAGTTAATGGGTATGATAATTATCTGTTAAAATTATTGGAAAATTATCTGAAGAAATGATTAGAACTCTTTTTTCTAAAAATGAACTTGTTGAATGTAGATTCATGAAATTTTCCTACTACCACTTTGTGCTCAGCATTAATTCTGTCTATGTTTTAATTCTGTCTTATATTTCATGTTTTTGAGATCACTATAAATTAATCCCAGGTCATGGAAGGTCAGAGAGGTCCTGTAGTTTCACAGTTGCTTTGAGTTATTTTTCTTATGTTACCCTACATCCTTGGATCATTTTTAGAACTTGAGCCAGAGACCGTGAAAAAAAGCAAACAATAACTAAACATCTATTGTTACTATAAGTCATTGGAGGAGAATGTAAAAATGAATAGTATACAGTATAGTATATGTGTATTGCTATATAACATCCATTGTTATTATAAAAGTCATTGGAAGAGAATGTAAAAATGAACAGTATATAGTATATGATATATATACATATATATATATATTTTTTTTTTGACTGTATACATCCAAGGTTTTAAATGTTGAATAAAAGTTGAGTGAAATTAATTTTTCCTTTTCTTGGACATGTAGGAACTCATTTTTCCTGTATGTGTTTCGTTTTTCTACCCAATTATGATTAAACTCTAAATGTATTTAGTTTATTTTTTTATTTTTTGTTGGTCGTGGGGCCTGAACTCCAGGCCTGGACGCTGTCCCTCAGCTCTTCAGCTCAAGGCTAGTGCTCTACCACTTGAACCATAGCGCCACTTCCAGCTTTTTTTGCTTATGTGGTGCTAAGGAATCGAACCCAGGGCCTCATGCATGCAAGGCAAGCACTCTACCACAGAGCCACCTTCCCAGCCCTGTGTTTAGTTTCTTAATTTTAGTATTCAACATCTGTAAAACATTTCTTCTAATTTTTAATATTCTTTTTTATTTATTGGCCAAGACTTCCTCTTTTTAACTCCCCCTAAAAATCTCTTCTCCTAGCTCTGCAATCCCTTCCCTAACTGGCTTTCTTTTTTCTTTAAAAAAATTTTTTTAGTGAAATTAATCTTTAAATTATACATGTTTTTGCATATGTTCATAAAAAACGTTTTCTCTCATTTTAGTGCTTTTATTTATTTATTTTTTTATTTTTTGGGTCCGGTCGTGGAGCCTGAACTCTGGGCCTGGGCACTGTCCCTCAGCTCTTCAGCTCAAGGCTAGCGCTCTACCACTTGAGCCACTGCGCCACTTCCGGCTTTTTTCGTTTTGCTTATGTGGTGCTGAGGAATCGAACCCAGGGCCTCAGGCATGCAAGGCAAGCGCTCTACCACTGAGCCACCTTCCCAGCCACCTTCAGCAACCATGACACTGTTGACTCTATAGAGGATGAATTATTTGGCATACACAATTAATTGTGAAACTAACATTTTGACTAATAGGACTAATTTTGTCCATATTTATTATTATTATTACTATTATTTTATTTATTTTATTGGGCATGGGGCTTGAACTCTGGGCCTGAACGCTGTCCCTCAGCTCTTCAGCTCAAGGCAAGCACCCTACCATTTGAGCCATTGCTGAGTGGTTTATTGGAGATAAGAGTCTCACAGACTTTACTGCCCCAGTTGGCTTTGAACCATGATCCTCAGATCTCAGCCTCCTGAATAGCTAGGATTACAGGCGTGAGCCACCAGTGCCTGGCTGCGGCCGCTGTGGTTGCTGCTGCTGCTGCTGCTGCTTCTCCTTCTCCTTCGCCTTCTCCTTCTTCCTCTTCCTCCTCCTTCTCCTCCTTCTTCTTCTTCTACTTTCATCATTATTATTATTATTTGCCTAGTCCTGGGGCTTGAACTCAGAGCCTGGGCTCTGTTCCTGAGCCTCTCTGTGCTCATGGCTAGCAGTCTACACTTGAGCCACAGTGCCACTTCGGGTTTTTTCTGGGTAGTTTTATCTGGTGGTTTATTGGAGATGAGTGTCATGGATTTTCTGCCTGGGCTGGCTTTGAACCACGATCTTCAGATCTCAGCCTCCTGAGTAGGTAGGATTACAGGTGTTAGCCACCAACACCCATCAATCTTAGTTTTTTTCTTAAAGACTACCTTAATTTGAAATGATTTTAGTATTACATTTATACATCTGGAAGTGTAGGACCCTCACCTTCAGATAAATGCTTAATACCTTATGGTTCATGTCTTCTTTTGGGAGGACTGAATTACTGAACAAGTTAGCTCTAGGCTAATGCTGGGTAGATAGCAGTTTTCTAATAGAGTTCTTAATATTGGCTTTTTATTTATTTATTTATTTATTTTTATTTTTTGGGGGGGAGTCTAGTCGTGGGGCCTGAACTCTGGGCCTGGGCACTGTCCCTCAGCTCTTCAGCTCAAGGCTAGCGCTCTACCACTTGTGCCACAGCGCCACTTCCAGCTTTTTTCTTTTTGCTTTATGTGGTGCTGAGGAATCGAACCCAGGGCCTCATGCATGCAAGGCAAGCCCTCTACCACTGAGCCACCTTCCCAGCCCATAATATTGACTTTTTAAAATTATAAAATACAGTGATTATAAAATACTATCATTATTCCGGTGTAATGTAAAGAGAATAAATATAATTTTGAGAAAATATCTTAAACTTCTTAATTTTATTTATATATAAAATACATTCTGTCTTAATAATTTTTGCATTTTTTCAATTAGCAGCTGATGTACCATCAGAAAAAGATCTTAACAAAGTCCTTCAACTTTTGGAACCTCAAATTTCCTTTCTAGAAGAACTCACTAAAATGGGAGGAGCAATGAGGTCTGTTCTTACTCAGGTTTTGACAAATCAGCAAAACTACAAAGATCTGACTTCTGGTAAGTAAAGTATGAGGAGAAATTATGGTTTACGTAAACTGCTTTAATAAGAAATTGGGTTCTTTGGGCTGGAATGTGGCTTAGTGGTAGAGTGCTTACCTAGCATGCATGAAGCCCAGGGGCGATTCCTCAGTACCACATAAACAGAAAAGCCAGAAGTGGCACTGTAGAGCAAGTGGTAGAGTGCTATCCTTCAGCAAAAAGAAGCCCAGGGATAGTGCCCAAGCTTTGAGTTTAAGCCACAGGACTAGCAAAAAAAAAAAGAAAAAAAAGAGAAAAGAAATTTGGTATTCTATAACTTAAGAGTAAAATGTAGATTTGTTTTTTAAGTAATGTCTACCTTTAGGTAGTTGTTAAGAGATTTTCTTATTTTGTAAACAAAGAAACTTGAATCCCAGAAAAATTAAGTGACCTGTTTAGAGTTCTCAACTAATTTATGTTAGTGAACCCAGGTCTCTTTTGGTATGATATATTCATATTTTACTTTGCCTTTAAGCAATACCAACAATCACTTCTGTATTTTTTGACATTCTAAACTTTTGGATTACTTGGCCTCTGATTTCATTTTTTTTAATTAATTAATTAATTTATTTTTGGGTCCAGTCGTGGGGCCTGAACTCTGGGCCTGGGCGCTGTCCCTCAACTCTTCAGCTCAAGGCTAGCGCTCTACCGCTTGAGCCACAGTGCCACTTCCGGCTTTTTTCTTTTTTCTTATGTGATGCTGAGGAATCGAACCCAGGGCCTCATGCATGCAAGGCAAGCACTCTACACTGAGCTACCTTCCCAGCCCTGGCCTCTGATTTTATAATAATATAAATTTTACATTATAAAACTTAAATTATTGAGTATTTCTACACTTGACACTGTTATATAAAATAGTTTAATCACTTTTTGTTAGCTCAAGTACAGGAATCATTTATTTAAAAATTTTGTCAGGAAGATTTTATTTGATTAGTTTTTCTATATTGTGAACTTCTATTTTTCATTGTTTTTCCTTTTTCATATTTTTTTGGTCATGGGGCTTGAACTCTGGGCGATGTTCCTGAACTCTTCAGCTCAAGTCTAGTGCTCTACTACTGTGAGCCACAGCACCACTTCTGGTTTTCTGGTGGTTTATTGGAGATAAGAGTCTCACGGACTTTCCTACCTAGACTGGCTTCAAACCATGAACCTCGGGGCTGGGAAGGTGGCTCAGTGGTAGAGTGCTTGCCTTGCATGCATGAGGCCCTGGGTTCAATTCCTCAGTACCACATAAGCAAAAAGCAAAAAGCCGGGAGTGGCGCTGTGGCTCAAGTGGTAGAATGCTAGCCTTGAGCTGAAAAGCTGAGGGACAGTGTCCAGGCCCAGAGTTCACGTCCCACGACCAGACCCAAAAAAACAAAACAAAACAAAAAAACCCCCATGAACCTTAGATCTCAGCCTCCTGAGTAACTAAGATTACAGGCATCACCTGCTGGTACCTGGCTTTTTCATTAAAAAAAAAA